CAATGAGACAAGTTGTTTTTGTTTGGTTTTTTTTTTTAAGTTTAAGGTGGTGCATGCTAAGCATGAAGTGTCATTTTCAACAAGACCAAGTGCAGGGTCCTGCACCTGGGCCAGGGCAACCAGCATTACCAATACAGGCTGGGGAAGGATACTAGAGAGCAGTCCTTTGGAAAAAAAGACTTGGGGGTACTAGTAAATGAGGAGCTGGACATAAGCCACCAATGCGCAGCAGCAGCCCAGAAAGCCGATAAAATCCTGGGCTGCATCACGGAGCATGGCCAGCAGATGGAGAGAGGTGATCCTGCCCTGGTGAGACCTCACCTGGACTACTGTGTCCGGCTCTGGAGCCTCCAACTCAACAAGTACATGGACCTGTTGGAGGGTGTCCAGAGGAGAGCCACAAAAATGATCAGAGGGCTGGAGCACCTATGTCCTGTGAGGACAGGCTGAGGGAATTTGGGTTGTTCAGCCTGGAGAAGAGGAGGCTCTGGGGGTAACCTTATAACAACCTATCGGTACCTGAAAGGGGCCTACAAGTAAAAGCAGGGGAGGGTCTATTCACAAGGATTTGTAGTGATAGGACGAGGGGTAATGGCTTTAAGCTAGAAAACAGTAGATTTTGGTTAGACATTAGGAAAAAGTTCTTTAATATGAGGGTGGTAGATCACTGGAACAGGCTGCCCAGAGAGGTGGTGGAGGCCCTGTCCCTGGAGATATTCAAGGTCAGGCTAGTCGAGGCTCTGAGCAGCTTTATCTAGTTAGAGATGTCCCTGCTTATAGCAGAGGGGTTGAGGTAGATGACTTCTGGAGGTCCCTTCCAACCCAAACATTCTATAATTCTATGAGGTACCAGATGAAGTGTCTTCACAGTTGGAGTCCAATGCAAAAACAGACCACATGCTTGAAACACACAGGCCATAAGGCTCATTTCCAAGTGATGCTTTTCTAATGTATTTAATACATACTTACATATAGCACAGCTTCTAGTGGTTTAGTTACATAACTAAACATGCTCATGTTAATATGTTAGAAGTTGGTGAAGGGACATTAGTTTACAAGGTTTTATAGCCATTTCCATGGATATAACATTAACTGTCAGGTTTAACAGGATATTTCAAAATAAAAAGTCATTGTTTTAGTGCTAGCACTCCAGAACCCGTAAATTTCAAATAGCAAGTAAAAAATAATAAGCGTTATTTTCATCATTAAGTGAAACTCATGGTAGACAATTATTTGATAAAATACTTTTATTTATGTACACAGTGTAAATTCAACAAATGCTATATATTGTACAAGAGCAGACTTGAATTTGCCCAACACTTATAAGTTCACTTTAACTGGGAGTCTCCCTGATGTTAAGAAAGATGTCTTGTAACCATGTGACATCGGTATTTGATCAGTGTTATCAGGGGAAAGGAAAAAAAAAAAAAACCCTGAAAGATTTGGACATGGGTATTTAGTGGAAGAAGGGCTCATGAGTATGTGCTGAAAACTATTAGACAGACACCACTGTGGTAACGTGACTGCTGCAAGACCACGGCCAGTACTGCAAGTAAGTAAATATAGAAACACTGGTGGGTTGGAGGGGAAATGATGGCTGACTTGGGGAAAAAAAAAAAATACAAACATGACAGGACACAAATGGAGGCAAACACAACCTGCGATTTAGGAATGCTGTATGAAGACAGTAAAAAGCAGGTGCTTGGACAGCACACGTTCTATCGGACATTTCTCTTTAAAAAAACAAACCAAACAAAGGTGCCACAAACAACATCCCTTGAATAAGCTTGACCACAAGAAAGCAGGATGAAGCCTCCAACAGTCACCCAGACTAACAAAAAATTCAGCCAAAAACATATTAGGCAAGAGTTTTCCAAATCATGGCAGCAGCACAACCTATGACCCGACCCAGCTGAAGATGATTGTGAATTTTTCCACATTGGATTGTGGATGAGGCCTTATAAAGGAGGCCCAACAGGACTTGGATTAGTTTTGTACTAACCAAATTTATAAGCAAACTATGGCTCATCTATCTTTGGATTGAGAAGTAGCCCTTAGCTCTAAGAGTAGACACCAAAATCCTCAGTTAGAGAACTTTTTCAGCCTTGTTTCAGAGCAAAGAGACAGTCATCCGCCATGACAAACCAGAAAATCCTCTTGAGGGGAGCAGCCAAAAGCCAGTAAAGGAAACACTTGAATGTAAAAAAATCTCCATGTAACAGAGCTGGTAGCTCCAACTCCAGACTATCAAGATTAAGAAGATCTTAATTTTCTACATTTTCGTGTACTGTTGTATTTCTAGCTGTGTTACAAACTCCCTTTGCTCCTCAAGCAAACAGAAATAAAACAAGTGCTGCTGTTTGCTTTATTGCATAGCTCTCTTAATTTAAACCCTACTGGACCTAAAAAACCAACACATGTTATTAATAATAAAAATTTTATTAATAATACTTTTAGGCTTTAATTATATAATAATTATTAATTATATAGTCAAGACACAAAAAAGATTTTCAAGATACATTATAACAGTCTTTGCATGAAAAAAATCATAGACTTGTACCTTATAACGTTACTTTATGATAAAAATACTTTTAATGAGAGATTTTAAATCCACTTAGTATTACCAATATTAATAACACAAAACATGAAACTTTAGAAGTCTGGTGCCACTGGCATAACTATACACCTGTCTGCTTGGACCACACGTAATCTCTTTTTCCAGTCCCAAATTTACTACTGGCCCCAGCCCTCCATATTCTTCCATTTAGGCACATAGAAACCTCACCTGCTATAGCCAGCTCCTAAGAGAATTGCACACTTGGCCCAAGTCTGTTTCTCTTCTGATGCTCCCATTTTCTGTTGGGATTCTTCATAGTTCTGTAGCTGGGACTGTTATAATTGCTACCATGTTTTATTGAATCCAAACCTTTAAGCTTTAAGCTGCACAGAGCACAACATCATTTTGATCCTGGTGATTTATCCTCCACCTTTCCCCCTGGAACTCCTGCAAGTGAGGTTTGGATTCTACAAGATATGAATCTGGATTGCATATTTGGGCTGTGTTTCTGAGGAATGCATCCCTCTGCTTTCCTGAAAAGTACTTTTAACATTACTCTCTAACACACAACCCCTCAGGAGAGGTGTTCAGACAGGCAGTGCTGCCTAAACACTGCAACCTCATTCTGGCCTGCTTAGAAATAAGAAGGTAACACAAAATTTAGATTTTTCTCTATTAAATACCAGCAGGATGACAGATAGGCTTGCCATGGAAGATTATTATAACCCTCTCACCCTATTTTTGAACGGGCAATTTCAGATATTCACCACTTCATCATTATCAACAAGATCTAGCTATATATTTGTGACCTAACAGGAAGAAGTTTCCTCTCCCTCACAGAGCAGCTCTTAAATTCTGTGCTGACACGCAGCACCCGACCACTAGCCTCCTCCCTTCACTCAGAACAACATCAAAAACATTTTCACCAAAAATTAACAAAATGGAGTTGTGTACACCAAAGAGTGTACCCCTCACACATTTAAGCTGATATCCTCCAGACACAGGCTGTACTGATGGCACAGATCAGCATGCAGAGCCTCTAACGGGTGCCCTGACCTAACGTTCTTCACAGCTTGGGTTTGCCCAGGCTTATGACTTTGGAAAATAAACCTGTGCAGCAGCCATGTCATCCTACACAACTAAGTTTCAAATGACGGGTTTTTTATCTCCCCGGTTCAGTGCGTCAAACTAACTGGTGCCTTCGCCGCTCCCCTGCCACTAGGCGTCACTCTGCAATGCCGTGATCCTCCTGCCTCCTCCACAGCCCGGAACTCGCCCCGGAACCATCAGACCAACGCTACTAGCAGGAGAACATCCACCACAATTTGCCAAGTCCCTGTTTAAAAAGCAGCCCTATTCTTTAGGTCAAGTAAATATTTAGTGATGTGGCAGATAAAGTGCAAAGGGCTGTTAGCATTACTTTGTATGTTCTTCAAAGTAAAATAAAAATACTACAAGAACAGCTGAACTCCTGAAGGAGATGACACAGGCTTTCCTGCACAGAGGAGTCACCTCAGATTCTAAACTCCTCTAGGACTAAGAGAATTTCCAAAAATAAAGAGGAACTGTAACAGGAACACTAGTGGAACTAGCTGTGTGACCACTTGTGTGGGACCTACCCCCCAAAAAAAAAAAATTTTACTAATCAACCAGCAATCTTTTAAAGGGCAAAACAAATATTCTGTGTCTGACTTTCCTATTTCATTGATTTCAAGTCCAGAAGGGACCACTATGATTACATCAACAGCTAGACCACCAGCATAACAAACACCTGCACCCCACATGCATGTTGGTGGTGGGTATGAAGCGCTCCCATACTGAGGGCAACCTAGAAGCTACAAATCACTTCGACGGTGAACACGCAGCTACCTTCCTCTTCCTCAAGTGCACTTATAAGAGAGAATAATTAAACCAAACCAAACCAAAAACCACCCATCCGTGACTGCATCCTACCACTGACCAATTCAGCCACTTGGAATGATTTAATGGCATACAGCAACCAGGTACCCACGCATACCTAACTTGGGTCATCATTCATCTTAATAAACTACATCATTTCCAGTATCAGCATCTCTGACAGATGTGAAATAGGATGCAAGCTAAACTTGATTCAAGCTGAGCTTAATAGACAAATTAACTGTAAAGACACTTTGAAGCATTACGACAAATGATGCCATTAGTGAGCATGTCCCTACTAAATTATGAAATAATGTCCAACCTGACAAAATTGTTGGTGTAATTCATAACCAAGAGGTTGAAGTTCTTACATGCATGCACATATGGAAGACAAACAACTTTCAAACACATCTGGTGCATGCAGATTACTACCAGCAAGGAATCATTGTGTTAATGAGCTTCTTGCAAAAAGCTTCTAGTTCATGGGCAAAGAATCACTTCACACTGTGTTCTTCTTCTACCCGACCAGGAAACAGCTGTTTCAGTGTTATATCCCCTTCTTCTGAGGTGTTTCACCGTTTAATTTTCCGTTTTCCATTTTTTTATTTTCAAAGTTCCAGTCAGTTGGGCTGAGGAGCTGCTGCGTTTTTTTGTACGTCCAGTATGGGTTAAGTATTAGTGTAACAGCAAATAACCCCGAGAACAAAACAATAAAATGAAGAAGTCCCAGATTTTCTATCACAGATGTCCAATTGAAAATACACACCCACCACATGTGGTAAGTGAGAATCATGCGGCAGTGGAACAGGTGGATCATCACCCACTGGTTTGCCTTCCAGAAAAAGGTGTTAGCACAGCCAGCCTAGAAAAACAAGAACAGAAAGTATGCAGAAGTGAGATGGCTACTTCAAGATAAGGAACTGAGAATCTGCACAATCTAAGGCAAATATCCAGCTCAGACATACACGCTCTCTCAGGCACTCTCTCCATGCAGAGCTATGATGTTCCACGTTCACATCCCCAGCTCACAATGCATCTACACCATCTCACTACCCACGTGTGCACACCATCACACGGAAACCCACTTGGAGGGCTACACAACTACCACCACAACAAGAGCAGGTATCGCAGGGGATTATCACTTAGATGAACACAGTTTTACTGAAAAGCTGGCTAGACAAGCCACCTGGGTTACCTAGGGACAAGGGAGATGCACGAAAACTGTTACAAACATCATTTCAAAATTGCCACATTCTTACCTTTAGAAGCATCCAGGAAATGCAGGTTGAGGGCGTACTCATCTCCAGCAACATTCCCATCAAAGGCAGATAATGTCCAGATTTCACATTAATTACTAGACCAGCCAAGCCACCAAAAGCAAGCAAGTGATGAACTACTAAGAACACATCAAATGTTCTAAAAATAACGTTGGACACGTGAACAGCTACATTTTCAAGCAAGAAAAATCCAGCAGCTATTAAACAGTTAAACCAACTCCACTTTTGCTGTGAATACACTTTGTCAGCATGAAAAACAGGATCTATGAGCAAAGCCCATAACCCAGCAATACAACTCTGAAGTCCAAACACACCACGTGTGACTGCCATATTCCAAAAGACCTTCTCCTTTGCATACAAAGCACCATAAGTGGTACTTATCCGTGTAGACAACCAGTGTGACAGAAGAAATACTCCCAAATAGATTAAAAAACCAGCAGCTAAAAATGTCAAACGAACTTCCCATAAGAGATAGTCCCAGTCAAAAATGGTCCCAAATACTGGGCCGTCATTTGTAGGATTCATGTCTTCTTTTTTACAGAGCAAAGCCTTGCAAGGGGTGTGACACTTCTCACCCGCACTAGAGTCTCCTTTAAGCCTATGCAGACTCTGCTACTATGCAAACCAGAAACCATGAACTCTTCTTTTCCATCTGGAACAAGGAGAAAAAAATTAAGTTAATTTTTAAGTCATCCATATACATGGCTTCTAACCCCTAGAGAACTCACTTCTACTGCAGCCATGACTTTGGTGCTGTTGCCATTAGACCCAGTCATCCCAAAGACAGGTAGATGAATGGACAGACAAACTTAAGCAATGCGTTTAACAACTGGCCTGCAAAATCTGTGCTACTACTACAAAGTAACATGCTGAAACAGAGGCTGAAGAGGCCAAAGTTGGAAGAGAGAGAAACTGAAGAAGCAAACCCTGTTTTCTTACTTATGAAACTTGTATTTCAACAGCATCGTACAGTTATTCTACTCATTATTCTCCTACTCCCCTGCTTTTCTCTCACTGATTTTCCACCAATTTCTACAGCTTTGGGTGCAAATCCAGGACATAGAACTACAAAAACTTAATCCAGTGAGTGGCACCACTTACATGGAAAAGGGCTTTCTGGATCATATGTCAAAACAATATTTTGCAATCAGTTTCTGAATATTAAGCCACTTTCCAACAGAAAACATATTCCAAAAATGCAAGAAGAGTATGGAATGCAGACAAGCAACATTAACACATATTATTAACAACATTAGCGTAATTACCAGAACAACCCAGTAGTAAGCGCCTCAAGTTAGCTGAAACTTCCTGAACACGCTCTAGTTCAAAAATACAGATTTGAGGGGATGGAAAAGCCATATAACACTGAAATATTTGAATGCCAGCTCACTTTATCAATGATTTAGGCAACGTCAGCTGACCATCAGACCCACCGCAGCCTGTAAATGCTCAGAAGCACAACGCGTTTGTGAGTTCGGTGGGAGCTAGGGGAAAAAGCCACAAGGACCATGTGTAGAGGGTCTAGTGAGACACTCCGGCCTCGCTTCACCCTGCGGAAAACGCCACCACCACAACCCGGAGCCCGCAGAGACCTGCTCAGCCTGCCCTTCACCCGCAGATGTCCCCCCCAAGAC